AAAACTCTAATATTCTGATTACTAATTTGGCCGTGACTGATCTTTTAGTTGGAGCAGTTTCTATGCCTCTTTCAATCACTGTGGATGCCCTGATTCTTCAAGGAACTGTATCACATAGCACTATTTATCTGTTGAGTGAAATTGGTGTCTCTGTACTGATCACTTTATATACTATCTCCTATCGTCATTTATTGCTGATAGCTTGGGAGAGGTATGTGGCGATAGTTAAATGGACAGAGTACAAAGCGTTAGTCACAAAAGGACGGATGAAGAAGTATACTCTAATCGTCTGGATGGAGAGTGTTACATACATGGCCTTACATCAAGCATTAGTTTTGGGTAAAATTCCTCCCGAGGTTCTACTTGTGGTGGATCTTGCGTTTAACCTCAGCTATCTCATCGAAACGTTACCGTTGTTATATTTTTATGGCATGATTTATATCGTTGTACGGAGACAAAACAGATGTCAAATCAGCCAATTGAGTGCTCTGATTAAAGCAAAAAAGGAAAAGAAAATTTGCGTTCACTGCGTTTCTGCTGTTAATAGCCGCTTTCATCTGTAGTGTTCCGATACTAGTAGTCATGACCTCGGCATCATACTCACCAGTTTTTCGCACGTATTCGGCCTTACGATGGGTATATATTGTGGTTCAAATAAACTCTCTCGCGAATCCCTTCCTCTATTTCTACAGAAACAAACGTTACAGGAAAGCTCTGCTACAAATAATAGGATTCGAGAAGACACAGGAAATCGAGCGAATAGATCCCAAAGGGCATTGTGCAAGGCGGAACCGTTGCACCGTGGAGCCTATGGACACCGAAGGAGCTCTAGGCTTCAAACGATCACACTCACTTCCAGAGCAGACTCTTGGACTGAGGAACACGAGAGCGTCGAAAGCCACAACGATGGAAAGAAGAATGTCGGCTCCATGTTTGACAAAAACAGACAGCTTGCAAAGCGGAACACAACCCTTCTAGCTAGATGGTATGATGCAGATAGAAAATAAACCATGATAGACCATCAGAATTTTTCCATCCTGATAACCAAGCCAAGGGCTCACATCATCATGAAAAGTTGAGGTCAAAGTCATTTAATAAAAAATCTTTCGAAAGCTATTGAAAATCTCACGAAAGTTGAGTGTCAAAGAGAAACCTTAGTGCCATCAGCCATAACGTCTTTAACTGATTGACCATTTTACGGCTGCAGTTAATATTCAGTTTCCTTATCTGTACTTTAAGAAATTCATGGAGAACAGTATGGAGAATATGCAAACTGAGTTAAAATATAAGAGCGCTGAATGAATTCCTGTCAATACCAATATCCATCTGCAAAAATCCAGTAAATTTTAGGCTTATTTTGATGGCAAAATTTTATAAAGCAATTTGGATCCACCTGTGCAAAAAGAAGGGAAAAATCAAAGTCAAAATCAACTAAGAGGAAAGAGTCCATATTGACCTGGAGTTCATCGACACTCTTCTTCACGCCGAGGTTCGTAGCGAGAGAGTTTGACCCACTGCTTACCATTTTGAAAGCTAGAATGCACGCAAATGAAATCAAACTAAAAAAAAAAGCTAATTGGTATATTCTTTTTTCTAATAGGAAGGGGAGGGCGACAGTAATACTGTCTTCTTAAGGACTGTTCCAATAGTTTAAATCCAATTTTTTGGCCTTTATGAAGGCATTGGAATCTGTAATTTCATCGATGTATTTTAGTTCTTGTACAGTATCAAAGGCAAGTTCTACCTGGCCTGAGCCCGCCCAGGCTGAGAACTACTCGAGAAGCGCTGCAAAATGATATTTTTTTTTTCCTTTTATATGGAGACCATATCACCATTCATATCAATTACCATTTATAAAAGTCATCTGAATAATAAGAGCAATTACTTTTGGGTGTACTGCAACTTAAGCACTGATAAATCAAGTGTTTTTTTAAACGTTCTGCGATTCATCTCGGTAAAACTAAAACAAAACAAAAATACGGTGATAACTCGAGTAAAGATCGCAAACAAATTTGGCTAAACAAGCACTTTCTACGAAATTTCACTGGACCTAGTTTCCAGCCGCGTTTGTGGTCGTCTTTGGTATAAACGTAAAAAGGAATTTTTCCAAAAAGACGGATCGATCGTGATCATGGTCACACGTGACGGGGCTAAATGTAAGCAGTTACTAGGTAGTAGGTTTTCAATTGTCTTGTGGGAACTTTCTACCACTCGATTTTTTTTGGAAACCAGCGGCAGCTCAAAAAAGCACCTTTTTATTTTCGGAATTAGCAAAAGGGCGCTCAAGAATCTTTACGATTCCTATTGGCTGTTCAAGCGACGTTGCATGAAAGCGAGGAAAACAGTGTAGAGTCGCCCTCCATAGCCGTTGACTACCAGTAAAAAGGCTCTCAATGGAGATTGCCCCAGGAATGCCACTTGTCAGATGTCAAACACGTTAAAGCTCTTGTCAAAGAGCTTATAAAAGCCATAGCAACGTAGACAAAAACTCATTACTGGCTGAAAATTATGTTATGATCAAAATGACACCAACGTAAGGGAACTGAAGTGAACAACAGATCTGAGAGCGATGTTGCGTGAATTTTATATTCAAGATATCTTTGCGATAAAAGAACAATTTAATCCACCTACGGCTTTTTCTTACCCTATCTAATAGAAAAAGAAAATCAAAGAAATTGATCATTTCATTTCTATAGACAACAATCAAACGTATGCAATATCAATCAAACATGTATGGAAATGCATGCATAGTATGTATAGTATCCACACGTTCTTGTTTTAACCTCACACAGGCTAATTTTGAGAACATAAAATGTTTTCATTTAAAGGCTAGGGCATGTTGACTTGGAGAGTTTCCGGCAGAGTATTTTTTTGAAAAATATTTAAATCCAGCTTCCGCTTTTTCTCTGTTATATTGTGAAATTAACCTATCACAAATACAGCTTTATTTTCTTCTTATCACTAATTCAAATTCGCGCAGAAAAACTGGCCGCACAGCGTTCGGGCATTTTACATAGTCAGACGCTAGTGATGAATTTTAATTCTTTGCAGTTGTCATTCAGAAACTAAGGTTAAACTGATCTTCACCGGGAGGGTGCTGTAAAGACGAATTATTCCTCGTTGTAACTAAGGATAAACTGCAAAAGAGTGGAAACGACTGCAGGATGATGGCGACAACAAATATAACGGGAAGTGGAACACAGACGACAACATTTGAAAGATTGGTATGCAGTCCGGTTTGGGTAGGTGAGTTTAAACAACAGTCCATTTCATTCTCGGCAGTCAACATTCTCCTCTCCATCACAGCAACTCTTGGGAATTCTCTTATCCTTGTTGCCCTTCACAAGGAATCTTCTCTCCATCCGCCATCCAAACTCTTGTATCGCTGTCTGGCAACAACTGATCTTTTGGTTGGTCTCGTTACCCATCCTCTCTATGCTACTTATTGGATGTCCTTGGTTCACGAACATTGGACTCTTTGTCGATACGCGAGGGAGGCAAGCTACATAACAGGCTTTACTTTGTGTGGAGTTTCTCTGTTTACAATGGCGGCCATAAGCGTTGACCGACTTCTTGCCATGTTGTTGGGACTGAGATACAAAGAGATTGTAACTTTAAGGCGTACGTACATCATTCTAGCTATCTTTTGGGTTGTATGTCTAGTCGCTGGTTTATCCTCTCATCTGAATTATCGTATAACCTTTTGGAATACCCTTATAAGTATATCATCTTGCTTGGTAATCTCAGCCGCCTCGTACGCAAAGATTTTCCGCGCTCTCAGTCATCATCGAGCTCAAATACAAGATCATGCTCAACAACAGCCGAGCCGACCAAATGCACTGAACATGGCGCGATACAGAAAGGCAGTCTACAATGCGCTGTGGGTGCAGTTAGCTTTAATTGTCTGTTATGTGCCACAATTTACAGTGAGAATTGTGATCTTTCTTAGTGCAAAGAGATTTTCGAATTTCTTCTTAATCTACGGAATGGCAATTGTCTTAATGTTCTTTAACTCTACTTTAAACCCATTCCTTTTCTGCTGGAAGATAAGTGAAGTGAGACGAGCAGTAAAGCAGACAATCAGACAAGCAATCTGCTATGCATAGGGATAGACCTATTTTAACGTTGGCATGTACTGTTTCTTCCATAGGTAATTTGGAAATTGTCATATCTTTGAGTTTGAAACCGATTATCGAATTTCATCATAATCAGGGGCATGGCGAATGTTTTAGTTTTCTTTAATGTGACTTTAAACCCGTTTCTTTACTGTTAATTTTAAAAGCACTTTTCTTGCCGAATTTGAATATTCATGAATATTACGTGACTCTATCATAGGCCGTGTAAACACAGATGGTCTTATGAGAAAACACTCTCTCAATTCATGACAATCGAGTGCAAAAGTTGCTATAACGCGCTCTTGAGTACCTACCGCTGCTTTATTAAAAATGGTTTGTATGACAGCTCACCACTGCAAGGATCATTTTCGTTCCTAAAATTCATGTGTTGGTCAAAAATGATCTGTGTCATAAAAATTCTGGAAAAATGATTAAGTATAATGGAAGTACAAAGACTTTGTTTAATAAACTACTACGCTCTAACCTCTTTTATGTGGTTTCTTTTAACATTTCCCTTTCTTCCTTAGGACCGTTACGAATATCACCGAATGAAAAGGGGCTGTATGCAAATGTTTGATGAGTAAATTATATGAAAAAGCTAACGTTGCCATAAACGTTATAAATGAAGGTATATCTCGTAAATAAAATGAGAATCAAATAAATTTGGTCAGAGATGTTTAAAACTTCAAAATTATTTACCAATCGACGGATTTCCGACCGCGATTTCTTGATATCGTAGATCAATGTTTTTAAATACTCCGGAAAATTTTTAAAATGTTCGTTTATTTACTTTGTTTTGCTGAGTCATGAGCTAAGCCAGACAAGCCAGACCGAAACTGATCTTTAGATAGAATATGATGAAATGATGTAGAATGTCCCAAGCTGTTAAGCATATCTGTATTAGCAGGGCTCATATGTAGTTGCTGTTGTCATCACTAGCCTTTTCCAGGTGTTCATTTAGTAAAACGGAGCAAAATGGTACAGGGCACGACAGTAGCGGTGGAGTGATAAAACGGGGGAGTTTTTGGTCAGGTCGGGTCGGGTCGGGTCGGGTCGGGTCGGGTCGGGTTGGGTGAACGACTCGACCCAAGCCTCACTCTTTTTCGATCTACCCTCACTATCGCGTCGTTTATTGTGCACTTCGTTTTACTAGCTAAACGCCTCAAACAGGCTGTGTTATCACTCGATAAGCTGTCAAAAAAAAAACAAAAAAAAAAGCTGTGATGCAGAATAAAAGAGACTATCACATATATTTCCTTCGAGTCAGTAGTAGAGCCATTTATTACGAAAGAGGAATCGAGAGGAAAAATGAATGCATCCACCCGTCGTATACTTAACAACTTTAACTGTTACTACGGTAATCTTTTGCAATAAAATAATGACTAAACACAAAAAAATTGAAATAGTTTATCTTACTAGATGGTTTATTAATCAAACAATTCAAGGAGGTTTCCGTAACTTTATGCTTTGCGCCTAAGAAATAATTAAATATTATTATTCGGTTGCAAAACCGTATTGCAGAAAAAAAGCTATTACATGTATAGTTTTTCAAAAAAACAAAAACAAAACCTTAGCTGAAACAACATGGTACCGGTGACCATAGATTCATCCAAAGGAAGTCTTCCAATTGCTTCCTGGCCAAGTAACATCTGCGCTGCAATCTTTTTGTTTTTCAGTTTGCCGTACGTATGTTATCATAATTCTGACAAGTTTCAATATCACAACATTTGCATAAGCACTTCATCATTTGTCAATAGCTTTCAGTGAAGGTTTTCCCTAGTCAAACAGAGACGTTTTCACTTCTTTTTTTTTTTTGAAGCAATGGTCACAGAGAGTACAAGTTTGTCCCTGTTATACGATGCCAGACCCAAAATGTCGTTTACCGATTACAGGTAATTAAGACAAACAGCAATGTTCGGTAGCAAACTTCCGCCTTAAAACCAGAGATAATTTGCACACAGAATGTCTCCCGCAAGAGAAGCATTTGAATTATTTACGATTTTTTGACCAACATTTCCCCCTTTTAAAAGGTGAGACACGTAGAGACCAAAATTTTAAATCTTTCTAGAAATTAACTTTGCATCTCTAACCAAAATAGATTTTGAAATTGGACTTTTTCTCTTAGTTTTCTTAAGCTGTTAACAATTAATGGCGTCCCAAGATCCCGTGAATTGATAATTCACGCTATTATCTGGGTAAGGGAACGACTCCGATCCAAACAACACGTCGGCCGATGCGTTGATCAAGGCGTAAGCCGACGGCAATCGGTCGACTTTCGATATCCTATCACTAAAGGTTTATTTGAGTAAAGAAGTTTTTTTATGTTTTGTTGGGATATTAACCTATGACAAGAGCAGTTTAATTTTCCCCTTACTACTAATTAAAATTCGCGCTTAAAAACTGGTCTTTTGCTCACTTTCGTGTCACAAACCTCACAGCTTTCGGACATTATACATAGTCAGATGATAGTGATAAATTTTTACTTCCTGTAACTGATATCCAAAAGCTAACGTTCAACCGACCTTGACTTATAGGATACTGTTAAGATGAAATATTCCTCGTTGTAACTAAAGATAACCTGCAAGAGAAAGGAAACGACAGCAGGATGATGGCGACAACAAATCTAACGGAAAGTGGAACACATACGCAAGCATTTGACAAATCGCTATGTTCCCCAGTTTGGGTAGGTGAGTTTAAACAACAGTCCATTTCATTCTCAGCAGTCAACATTCTCCTCTCTATCACAGCAATTCTTGGGAATTCTCTTATCCTTGCTGCCCTTTACAAGGAATCTTCTCTCCATCCGCCATCCAAACTCTTATATCGTTGTCTGGCAACGACTGATCTACTGGTTGGTCTTGTTACCCAGCCTCTCTATGCTGCCTACTGGATGTCCTTAGTTCACGAACACTGGAGTCTTTGTCGGTACTCAAGGGACGCAGTCTACATATCAAGCTATACTCTATGTTCAGTGTCTTTGTCGACGTTGACGGCCATAAGCGTGGACCGACTTCTCGCCAAGTTGTTGGGGCTAAGATATAAAGAGATTGTAACTTTGAAGCGCACTTATATCATTTTAGCTATCGTCTGGGTTGTATGTCTAGTCACTGGTTTATTATCTCGTCTCAATTACCGTATAACCCTATGGTGCACCCTTATAGTTACACCATCTTGTCTGATAATCTCAGTCGTCTCGTACACAAAGATTTTTTGCGCTCTCGGTCATCACCAGGCTCAAATACAAAGTCATGTTCAACAACAGTCGAGCCAACTAAATGCATTGAACATGGCGCGATACAGAAAAGCTGTCTACAATACACTGTGGGTGCAGTTAGCATTAGTTATCTGTTATGTACCACTTTTTACGGTGAAAATTGTAATCTTTCTTAGTACAGAGAGATTTTCAAATTTCTTCTTAATATATGGAATGGCAACTGTCTTAATTTTTTTTAACTCTACTTTAAACCCGTTTCTTTACTGCTGGAAGATAAGTGAAGTGAGACGAGCAGTAAAGCAGACAATCAGACAAGCAATCTGCTATGCATAAGGGTAGCCCTAATTTAACGTTGGCAGGCTCTATAACTTATTTGGAAATTTTGATATGGAATTTCATCATAATCAGGGGCATGGGGAATGTTTTAGTTTTCTTTAACTCGACTTTCACCCCATTTCTTTGCTGTTATTTTAAAAGCATTCTTATCACCAAACTCGAATATTCAAGGGGAATACGTGACTATCACAGGCCGTGTACACAAAGCTGGCCTTATGAGAAAACATGCTCTCATTTCATGACAATCGAGTCGAAAGCTTCTCTTGAGTTCCTACCAGTGCTTCAAATTAAAAGGTTTGTATGACAGCTCACCGCTGCAAGGATCATTTCCGCGCTTAAATTTCATCTGATGGTCAAAAAATGATTTGTGTCATTAAAATTCTGAAAAAAAAATGAATAAGTATAATGGAAGGAATAAGAATTGGTTTAAAAACTACTACGCTCTAACCTCTTTTATGTGGTTTCCTTTAGCATTTCCCTTTCAGTCTCGAGATTGTCACGAATATCACGGAATGAATAAAAGGTTGTATGCAAATTTTTTATGTGTAAACAATATGAATAGGTTGACGTTGCCATAACTGTCATAAATGAAGGTATATTTCACAGATAAAATGGGAATCATATAAATTTGGTCGGTGATGTTTAAAAGTTCAAATTATCTATCAGGATCGACTGATTTCCGACTGCGATTTCTACATATCGTAGAATTTTGTTCTAAAGTACTCCAGAAAATTTTGAAAATGCTCTTTCATTTATTTTGTCTTGCTGAGTCATGAGCTTAGCTAGGCAAGCTAAGTGAAACTAATCTTTAAACAGAATATGATGAAATGATCTAGAATGTTCCCTCGAGTTAGGAAGGGTAAAGACTCTTGCGCATAGAGGAGATAAGATATGTAAAGAGTATATGTACAAATGAAGGACATAAAAAACCCTCTTCATCCTCTTCTACCAATACGCCTAGACAATACGTGTCCCTACACCCTAAGGCACAAATTAGACTAGCTTTACTTTTACAGAAACATTGCTACCTCTAGAACGAAGCGCACGGAAGATTTTTTCACTATTAAGGATTTATAACAAATGTGATGCATGTTCTGGTGTAGCGTATATAATTTGTACTTAACATATACAGAAATGTACATAGTTGATCTTATTGAGTTTTCAGTGTATTATAACTCGTTAATTCAGCAAGTTACGGCAAGAGAGTTTAATAAACTGTTATGATAATGTCACAGGCTGTTAAGCACATCTCTATAAGCAGAGCTCATATTTAGCTGCTGTTGTTATCACAAGGCTTTCGTTTAGTAAAACGGAGCGAAATGGTACATGGCACGATAACAGCCGTGGAGTGAAAAAACGGGGAGGCTTAGGTCGGGTCGGGTCGGGTCGGGTCGGGTCGGGTCCAGATCGGTACAGATCGGGTTAGGAGAACGTTGTTCTTTACCCGATGGACCCAAGCCTCACTCTTTTTTCGTTCCGCGGTAACTATCGCGCCGTTTACTGTGCACCTCGTTTTACCAGCTGAACGCCTCGAACAGGCTATGTTGTCAATCAATAAGTTGTCAAAAAAAAAAAATACTGTGATTCAGAATGCAAGTGACTATTACAGATTTTTTTTCGAGTCAGTAGTGGAGCAACTTATTACGAAAGAGGAATCGAGAGTTAGACAAAATGAGTGCAATCATCTGTAGTATACATGATAACTTAAATCGTTTTAATGGTAGTTTTTACTTTTATTTTTTGAATGTCGGTTTGGACCATTACGTTTATTTTTACCCATAAAAAACCTGGGCTAAAACAACATGGTCTTGGTGACCATAGACTTATCCAAAGGAAGTCTTCAAACTGCTTCCTGGCCGAGTAACATCTACACTGCAACCTTTTTTCTTTCAATTTGCCGTACATATGTGATCACAATTCTGACAAGTCCCGATATCACAGCGTTGGCTAAGCACTTCGTCATCAGTCAGTAGCTTTCACTAAAGGTTTTCCTGAGTCAAACATTGATTTTTTCACAATTTCTTTCGAAACAATGGTCACAGGGAGTATAAATTTGTCCCTGTTATACGATGCTTTATCCAAAATGTCGCTGACCAATTCGATAACAAGGTAACTAAAACAAACAGCATTGTTCAGAAGCAAACCTCCTCCTTAAAACCAGAAATAATTTGTACAGGTAATCACATGATTTCGAGTGCAATTTAGAATAAATAAGCACGTGTAAATTTTTTTAAAGACTAACAAAATTGCATGAGCCCATAGGGCGAGTGCAATTTGTGTTCTTTGAAAAAAATTAACAAATGCTTGTTTATTCCAAATTACACAAGAAAAATCATGTGATTACGTGTTAATAATATACATGGAAAA